TGTCTGTTAAACAGACTGTGGGTCTGAGGGGACCAAAAGTAGCCAGGAGGCTAGAAGAATTTATGTTTGATGTGATGTTGGAAACTCTTGTGAATTACACCCTGCTGTAATTGAGCTTTTATTTAATGAATAAACATGGATGGAAAGCCCTTGAATGAAGCGATCGGACTGGACCTTGAAAGCACTACATTTGAAGCTGAACCTTAAAAAAAAAAAATACAGACTCTTAAATAAAAAAAAAAATGGAAAAAGTAATACATTCACTTTAGTGACTGCCCCACAAGCTGCTCATTCTCACCACTTCACCTAGGCTGCAGGCACTTCTAAGTGACCTTCACCATAAACTCAGTGAACAACTTCTGAAATCTCTTCGGTCCTTGGTGGCATAAAGTTTATTTTCTTCTACTGATTTATTGCAAAGCACCAAGAGAACTGTGGACAGTGCTGGTTGTTAGCATGTTATTTCCTTCCACATCCACAAAGCTGCTTCATAACATAAACAAGTGATTAGCACAGCCAGTTCATAATTGAGCACTCTGAATCCTAGTGAATAATACAGAAACTACGCAAACAGTCTGTTTGGGCCTTTTACATTGCCAAGAAAACCAAGCAGGTAACGTCTGCTGCTTAATAAGGAATTATTATGCACAGTCTCAGCCTTGTTTTTTCTCAATATCGTTCTGCTAAGAAATAACAAATCAGAAATTTGCCTGGAGTTTCTTGCCTACAGGCACTGTGTGCATAAGAAAGAGCTGTTAGTTCAGCTCTCACGCTCTGAACTCTTACTGAACTCTTCACAACACAACTGACACAGGACACCATTGCCAAACAAAATGACCCCACTGCCAACCAAAATAACACCACTGGAAGCCTAAATGGCCACTGACGACCAAAATGACCACTGCCAACCTAAATGACCACTGCCAACCAAAATGACCCCACTGCCAACCAAAATGATCACTATCAACCAAATTGACCCCACTGCAAATCAAAATGACACTCCTGACAACCAAAATGACACACTGCCAACCAAAATGACCACTGCCAACCAAAATGATCACTATCAACCAAATTGACCCCACTGCAAATCAAAATGACACTCCTGACCACCAAAATGACACACTGCCAACCAAAGTGACACCGCTGCCAACCAGAGCCCCCCATAGTCTGGTCATCCCAATCTCACTGCTTTGCTCTGTACCCCCACTGAAAAACACAGGCAAGTGGGGACACAAAGGCCGGGCCACAGCTGCAACAAGAAGTCAGTGTCTCACAAACAGAACCAACCCAAAGTATGTGCTCCAATCACAGCCGACCACTGTTTCCTAAGTCCTGGGAATACAGAACTTTAACATACAGACCATGCATCTCCAAAGTTGTATGTTTGAGCTCCATGGCTGTATTAGGAATATACAGTATGTATAGCATTATTTTTTGCCTGCTGTAATTTTTACTATCTGTTCTAAGTCTGTGTATGTGAGCAGTGCACAGTACCACTTCTCATGTTCTATGTGCTGGGTATAATTCTCAGTATCTATTCCTATTCTGTATGTGTAGACCCTGCACAGTACCACTTTTCTTGTTCTGTATGCCAGGTATAATTCTCAGTATCTGTTCTGTACTCTGTCCAGTACCAGTTCCTTATTTTGTATGCTGGTTGTAATTCTCAGTATCTGTTTTGTCTGTGTATGTATGGAGACAATATAGTACTACTTCTCTGATTAAGTACAAGTAGTACTTCACCCCTCACTCAAAAAAATTATTCTATATATGCTGGTAATTTTACCTTGATATAATTTTTTTTGTACAGGTTGCATAAACCACCAAGACTCCTTTCTCCCAGGGTTAAAAAAAGTAGCCACAGCAGAAACATGAAATCATATGCAGAAAACGTAAATGTAAATATTTTACTAGTGTTAGTGGCTAAAATGCTCCCCAGTATGAGTCTAAACTGCTCTCCACCAGCATTCAGCTGTTCTCTGTGTTGAAGCAGCGTCCTCTGTGTAGCAATCCGACATGCCCCCTACTAAGTATGGAGAATTAGATAAAGATGGTATATATATATGTATAGTCAATATTTTTGCTATCTCCTTTGAAGAAACATCTGTATTGTGGATGTTTTGTAAATAAGGAAAACTTTGCTGCTTCAGAAGGTAAGATATCAAAGGACACTGCAACTACTAAACATTTAAATGTTGAGCACTATAAATACATCAGTAGTAAAGCCTGAATATAATATATTACTTGAGTTTGTTAAAACTAGCGACTCAGATGTAAAAAAAAAAAGACTCTGGAAACCAAGGACAATTGGCAACTAAGCACACATTTAATGTTAAATAAACATTACATTTAATTTGCTGTTATTGGAAGTGATTTAATAAACTCGCTCGTTGTTCCTTTACGTTGGGCTGCAATGTTTTCTTTTCCCATGTGACGTGTTTTTACTACTCCATAAGGTTGACGTTTGGCTTCCTTGGTTTCCATAGCAGAATCCTAACAATGAATCTTCAATGCTTCTTCTGTACCTGCATTGGCCATTCTTTGGAAGGCGTGGACTCATATAATTCAATCCTGAACTGGCTGTGCTGTCTGTTATTCTCCTCTCACTCCTTCCTAAGCAACAACTATATTTGCGGTGAGTTATTGTTGTGATTGATATGAGATCTGACTTTATGAGACTGTACAAAGCATACAGGTGAAACTCAAATAATTAGAATATCGTGCATAAGTAATTGCAGTAATTGCTGCAAAAGGGGCCCAAACCAAGTACTGAGTACATATGCATGCTTGTACTTTTCAGAGGTCCGATATTGTTCTATGTACAATCCTTGTTTTATTGATTGCATGTAATAATCTACTTTTTTGAGGTTGTGGATTTGGGGTTCTTGGGGTTTTCATGAGCTGTAAGCCATAATCATCACAATTATGACAAATCACGGCTTGAATTATCTTGCTTTGCATGTAATGAGTCTATCTCATATATTAGTTTCACCTTTTAAGTTGCATTAGTGAAATAAATGAACTTTGCACAACTAGACATGTGACTAGACATGAGACGGTTTGAATTATCTTGCTTTGCATGTAATGAGTCTATCTCATATATTAGTTTCACCTTTTAAGTTGCATTAGTGACATAAATGAACTTTGCACCTATACCTATATCTTTAAAACAACAACAAACACACCTATAGAAATGCTTAGTTATGACAATCTAATTTGAATTATCTTGCTTTGCATGTAATGAGTCTATCTCATATATTAGTTTCACCTTTTAAGTTGCATTAGTGACATAAATGAACTTTGCACGATATTCTAATTATTCGAGTTTCACCTGTATGTGTTCAATTATAAAGCATACAGGTAGCTGCTCCTGATTTCAAAGGTTTTATATTTTTTGTGTCCTTTTTGTTTTATTCAAGAATCTGTTTTTAAAGAGGGAAAGGGTTGTTTTTGATTAGCCCAGCATGGGACTATTCACACTTGTCTGTTTTCATGCAGCAAGGCTCTTTCATTTTGCTGCAAAAAAAAAATCCATGTTAAGTAGAGATCCCATTCTTTCCTGTGTGACTGGTTCACATCTATGCAGCAGTTTAGTGTAAGGCTGGGCACACACCTTACAACCATCGCAAGACTTTTGTCTTGCGATGGTTGAAAGGTACTTAAAAAAACGTACAATCTGCCTATCTTGCATAGGCAGATCGTACTTGCGATGATCGCAAGCCACGCCCCCTGAGGGGCGGGCTTCCGATGACCGCAATGCCGAGCGGGCAGTGTGCGCTTGCGCACACCGGCCCGTCCGGCTTTTATCTTGCGAACATGCTACACACCCGCCGAACATCGTACGATGCTCGGCGGGTTTTGAAACATGTTCGTAAGTTTAAAGTCGTGCGACCTTACAGTAGTAGAGGTCGCACGGCTTCCACACACCTTACGATAATCGTACGATCGCGGGATTTCCCGCGATTATCGTACGATTATCGCAAGGTGTGTGGGGACCTTAAAGCCGTGGTTCTCAACTGGTGGGTCGTGACCCCAAAGTGGGTCACAACCCCATGTTCAGTGGGTCCCTGCATGCTTTCCACTGCACTAGGTGAGAGGCTCTTCACGCAGCACTGTCAGTTCTCGTGCTTGGCACCGAGTGTCAGCTTGAGGTGGGGTGGGCTGGAGGTATGGCCTAGAGGGATCTCCATCCATATGTGCATTGCTTACAGCTCCCTTGCATGACCGAAGTGACATCACATTCTGGCTCCCGACACCTCTATAAGGAGTGCAAGGGCGCTGTACAAGCAATGCACATATGGATGCACCACAACACAGCAGCATACACTGAACCCCTGCAAAATGTTTTGGAGTGTGTATGTGTGTGTATGAGAATGTTTGAGATTGTGCCTTGGTTGTGTGTGTCTGTTAAGGTGCCCATAGCCTGTACGATTATCGTACGAGAATTGCGGGAAATCCCGCGATCGTACGATAATCGCAAAGTTATGGAAGGCCTGCGATCGTTTCTACTGTACGTCTGCACGTCTTCCGTCGAACAAGCAGGCTGTAAAACCCGCCGAGAATCATACGATTGTCGGCGGGTTAGTGGCCTGCTTGTTCGACAACTGCCGAACGGGCCTGTGTGCGCACACGCACACTGCCCGTTCAGCATTGCAGTCATCGGAAGCCCGACCCCTGAGGGGGGCGGGCTTGTGATGATCGCAAGTACGATCTGCCTGTCCAAGATGGGCAGATCGTACGTTTTTTAAATTACTTTACAACCCTCGCAAGACAAAAGTCTTTGGTTGAGCTCAGATAGCATACTTACCTGCTGAGTGAATCCAGCATTGCCCTGTTGTGATCCACCAATCCCCCCAGCACAGGCCAGATCCCGCGCTGCCATTTTGAAGTGAAACTAAGCGCATGTGCGTGTCTGCGCATATGAGGTAGATCCGGCGATTGTGCAGACACACCAAAAGTCTCTATCAGGGACCTGCAAGAGACCCGTGTCATGCCCAAGCATGCATCCCATAGACCTGGCAGACACCCATTGCAGTATGAGCATGCACAAACACTCTGCGGGTCTCTTGCATGTCCCCGACAGAGACCTGCAACGTGTCCACACACGTGTGGGGAATATTGAAAAATATGTGCGGTGGAGTGCGGTGGATCACTTACTACACAAATGTGTGAGATCTCGCATAATGCAAAAGCAAAATTATGATTATATAAATTTGTTTCTATTTAGGTTTTAACATAGATACAGGGATATAAAACAGAACAAAATTAAATAATATAATTAAATAATAATGTAATCAGAAAGAAAAGGGGAAGAGGGGGAAAAAAAAAAAAAGCAAAATTATGGATAGATGAGCTCACTCACCACCATGCTACTTCTCCTTTCACTGTCCAATCACAGTTTGAGAGTAAGTCCAGGAGGATCTGGGCTCACAGGGAGTAGGTTAAATGATGTTGATCAGCAGATTGAGGACATCTCTCAACTGAAGGTGACTATTTCAATAAAAGTTGGTTTTGTTATTAAATCTTTTAATTGGCTTTTCATTTTTATCTTGTTATTTTGCATGGAGTTCTGCTATAACAAATAATGATATATTTCAGATAGAAGCATTGTAACCTCCCTAGATCTCATGTCAGAGCCAGTTTTATATCTGGCTAGCACAGAGCAAAACTGGGATGTCCTGTCTCTAGACTTCTGTCAATATTCATTTGTCTCATTTAGTATGGAGTGTTTTAACCTTTCCTGAGCTACTGTAGTGATTTTCTAGTGATCCTCAGAAACAGGAAGCAAAGTCTTCATCTTCTCTCTTCTGCCCTGAGGAGATATGGACTCTTATTTGATCTCACTGATTGGACAGCTCCATTGTTCATACTCTTCTTTTTTTTCTGCAAGTACCTTTTTAAAACTGGAAGTACTATTCTGGAATGTTGTGTAAAGGTGTCCATACACCTTACAATTACCTGGAGATTTTTGTCTGCGATCGCATTTTTGTCCAAACTTTTGTCTTTCAAGCAGGCTCAACATTTTCGTCTAAAAATCAACAGGTTAGTGGCGTTGTTGTACAACAAAAATCTCAAGATGAAAACTGCACATGCTCAAACGAAAATCTGTTCTTTCGATCGATGGAAATTGGCCAGGTGGTGGTGCTGACGAACGTTAATTGCGAACTACATTGGTCTGTGCATGATGGGCTAGTTCAGGGATAGGCAACCTTGGCTCTCCAGCTGTGCTGAAACGACAAATCCCATCATGCTTCTGCCTCTGGGAGTCATGCCTGTGGCTTGCAATGCCTTATGGGATTTGTAGTTTCGGCACAGTTGGAGAGCCAAGGTTGCTTACCCCTGGGCTAGTTGAACGAAAATTGAACGAGGGTGAGATGTTGTACAATGGTTGTAAGGAGTATGGCCGCCTTAATACTTGTTTCATTCATATACCTTGTATTCCTTTCAAGATGTACACGTTAGTATCTGGTGACTTTATTGATCATCTTCTTATCTCTTAGAAATGCCTCCTAAACTAAAGGGGAAGCTTCAGAATAAGAAGAAAATGAAAAAGCAGAAAGAATCAGGTACTGTACTATAAGTATGCAACTGGGAATACTGGTATTATACACTTACTGATATTTTATTAGGGTTACATCTGTAAACTCAATATAATCATGACTTGATTGGAGCCATCTTGAATTTACATGAATTGATAGTTTGTACTCAGCAGGGTGATTTAGCATTATCTTGAAGTTAACCCCCTTAGTGGAACTTAGGTGATCTATAGCGAGATATAAAATACCATTGTAATCCAGTTATGTATTCATGAAAATAACATTAAATATACTTTTACATACAACTAACATATGTACCTGAATCTGTCCTGATATCTGCCATCTGTGATCTCCTGTAGAACAGCACTTACAATAGGATAGGGAGGTTTACCATTTTAAGCTAAAGCTGCTGACTCTGCCCCAATTTGACCAGTGTGTGACCCTATCAGGACAAAAATTACATTTTCAAGTAGTTGGTCCAAAAAAAACATGGCTGAACAGTGACTGTAGCCACTTGCTTGACAGGTATTCTGACAGCAGCACACCTGCTGAAAAAAAAAACCTCATAGGGTATGGCCTGCCTTAGTCTCCCTTCCTGAAGATGCTTATAGGAGGGGATCAAGGCCTTACCAGCAGCACATATTCTGCAGCTGGGAGTGAAGAATAATACCCGGTGCTTCCTGGCATGGAGGCAGGGGCGTATTTACCGCGAGGCAAAGTAGGCGTTTGCCTAGGGCGGCACCTTCCTGGGGGGCGGCCGTAGTCAAACGCCTATGTTGTGAAGAGGAGGGGAGAGCCGGAGCCCGTCTGTGTCTAGGAGTGGAGGGCGGCTTGCCTGCTTGTGAAGAGGGTGGGAGGACGGATGGAGCCGGACAGCGCAGCCGACGGATGGGATCGTGACTCAGAAAACGAAAAGCAGCCGGCGGCCACTTACTCGATCTCACTGCTTCCTGGGTCACAGAGCCGCTGTGACCCAGGAAGCAGTGAGATCGATTAAGTGGCCGCCGGCTGCTTTTCGTTCTCGAGTCACAATCCCATCCGTCGGCTGCGCTGTCCGGCTCCATCCGTCCTCTTCACAAGCAGGCAAGCCGCCCTCCACGAGCAGGCAAGCCT